TACTGCATATGTTATCCTGCAGGGGTTCAGCAAGCAGGCAACGTGCTGAGCAGGAGGGACTTTTATATCTGTAAAGAGAACCTGTTGTCAATGAACACTTTTCAGGCCCCTTGTGGATGTCAGGGGAAGCTGTTCAGTACATTGCCACTCGTGACAAAAGGTAGAATTGGTTCGCTGTATAGCAAGGACATCAGTAAGTACAAATTTCAAACACTTTATATGAGCCTGAAAAGTTTGAATTGCTGTACAATTAATCCCAATAGAGTGCCAAAGCCACGATGAGAAAAAGACTCCAATTGTAATTTGTTTCAGGGGGCCAGGCAATCGCCCTTCATAGTTATCAAAGTGTTTTTTAATGGGCTCAGGATGAGGATACTTCTGCTACCTCCAGGATCTTTATTGCGAATCCATTAAGCACCTTGATAATTGTTGAAGTCGTAAAGGGGTATGTTTGGCCCCAAAACCCATTGGATTCTTAGTTGTTGTTTTTTTCTCCTGGTTGTCACTTATGGAATCGAATTACCAATGGACTCTTGGAACGTGGTTTTGGTGCTCTTTTTGGCTTCATTATACAGATTTGGATGACCCCCATGGTAGGGTGTTCCTACTTTGTGGCTGGCAGCTAAATCTAAGCCATCTGACTTAATCAATTGTATCGGTTAGAGAGTTTTATATCCAGCTCCTCAATTCCACCTCTCCTTGAAGTTTTAATTTATGACAGTGTCTCTTTAACCCCTTCATGACTGAGGCCCTTTTTTCATTTTTTGCACCCATGTTATATTCACTTGCTAAGAAATAGAAGTGGTCACATGAGCCAGACCTGACTCTACTTGCTGCAGGTAATAACTATTCTTTGTGGTTAATTCATATTGTATCTAATTACAATTCAATTTACTTAAAGTATCTCACATATTAAAAATGTTATGTGTGTCACTCGGCTGTAGATTCTCAAATCATCTCTGAATTGGTGCTGACACTGTCCTTCCTTCTGGAGGGTGGCTACTTTTGTTCCCCATGGTCCCTGTGTGTGTGGTAAAGTAGTCACCGCTCCAAGCTCGCTCCTGTGATGGACTACAATCTCAATACAAATTACTAACCTAAATTTGAGATTGTAGTCCATCACAGGAGTGAGCTTGGAGCGGTGACTACTTTACCACACACACAGGGACCATGGGGAACAAAAGTATCCCCCCTCCAGAAGGAAGGACAGTGTCAGCACCAATTCAGAGATGATTTGAGGATCTACAGCCGAGTGATTTTACAGCTTAGTGTCATTTGACTAGATGTAGTTCAGATTCTGCATTAAAAGTTGGAATTCCCCTTCAATCCACAGGGATTCCCAGTGCAGCTCACTGCCCCCAGCTAGATGTAGACTCTGCTAACACTTCTGCCTAGGATGATAACTTTAAAATGGTTGTTAAAAAAGCATTCGGCAGAATATTTGAGATCTGTTATAATAAAGGGAAACATTTTGCCAATTATATCTCCATAAATTGAATCTGTTATCTATTACTCCAAAAATGAGCTATTGGAAAGAATGATATCACCGCTGTGTATTTCATTAGTAAATCCTCAGAGATCCGCACGCTTTATTTATGGGCCTGTGTCTCCCCTTCCACCTCACAGCCATCAGTTTCTGATAATCCTTCTCGGGGAACGATCCCAAGATTTTTCCACAATTGCAGTCCCAGTTTGGGGTCTTGTTTTATTTTACAGTGTTACTCATGCTATGATGTCACTGGAAACAGGAACATTTACTGATGATGAAGACAGCTTCCAGCACGATGTGCCTCCATGTACTCCTGGCGTGTGTGCTTCCCAGCTCCGAATTCAGCACTTTTATGACTCTGGGCTTGGAAGTGGGACATGGAAAAAATGAAACCACAAGCATTAAAGGGTAAATTGTGAGAGAGGCGTGTTGGCCACGATGGGAACTGTAATCATGCAAATCTCTCTACAATGAATGAGTAACCGTCTTCTCAATTCTGTAAACATAGACAAAAGCTGTGCTGTGAAATGCGTGGTATTAGGCATGATGAAGATAAACGGCTCAACCACACTGAAATGGCGCATGCGTCTTCATAAAGGAGTAGCATGAAATTTCCACTAAGCTGTGTTATATCAAATTGGCTAGTTAGAATACATATATATATATATATATATCTCCTTTTCCTTTCAAAGAGAAGTGAAACTGAGTGCAGAGGAGAAGTCCCAGTCCCAGATCCTTGCACATAGCTCTTGAGTCAGGATACAACACTCCTCTGGGTCCTAGAACACTTGGCCTCTCTCAACTCCTTGTTTGAATAAAGTCAAAACCTGAACTCAACCCCTCTGTTACATAATGTGAGGCTAGTGCCTGCTTTCCATTGTTGTCCAATTCACACATAGCAGTAGTGGAAAACCTTAACACACACAGATTCTGTGCATTTGTGGCTATTACTATAACCGGAACAAGCGGAATCCAACTCAAAAATCTCGCTTGGGCCTTTTTGCGGTATGCGCATTTATTCGTACCGCACGGACGTTGCCCAGGTGTGAACAACACCCATTGGAATTAAAGGAGAACTATGAGGTGAGTGCTTTTCACTCACCTTATAGTTCTAACCGACCTGTGACAATGATGTAAGCAATGCACGTATGGATGGCGCTCTCTCACGTCCATAGACCCATCCCATCCCAGCTCAAGCTGACACTCGGCACCAGACAGCAAATTTTAATGGCTGCTTGGCGCAAGAACTGACACTTCTGCGCTAGGGGGAGGCAGAGGAGCTTCTCATCTTGAAAAGTGGAAGACATGCAGCAACCCACTGAAAACAGGGTCGTGACCCACTTTTGGGTCACGACCCACCAGTTGAGAACCAAGGATATAGAGTACAGCTAAACCATATAAAGTAATTCTAAGCTTGCAATGGTTAACCCTCGCTCCTTACCTGTTTGTGTCCAATTGGGGAGATTTCAAATCGAGCAATGTAAAGAGCTGGACAGCAGTGAAAACATGAAGGGTTTTGACCCTCTCATGCCCTTCAGATAAACTTTAAAGACCAATTCAGACAATTGCATTGTGGTAATGCGTGTCAACACTGTATGAGCAGTGCATTGTGGTGCCATTCATTATAATTGGAACCCCAACACACTGCATGGAAGCCACCACTGCAAGGCATCGCATCACAACCCACACACCGGCCATTGATTATACGAAAAAAGAAAAGTGAACGCATGTTAAATGGACTGTTTAGGTGCGTTGGCAGCCTATTCATAAAAAAATGGCTGCCTTAAAACAATGCACGCCATAACGCATGTGCATTAGCACATCACAACAGCGAATGATATGTCTGAATAGGTATGAGCAAGCCTTGACCACTGCAAGATATCAATAGTAAAGTATGTATACGTACTCTGCACCTGTACATTACCAGACGTGAATAAGCAAGGTAAGTTCTTTGGTCCATTTTTAGCAATTACAGAAGAAGATTATCAGAAGATCTTTTGTGAGACAAATAACCAAGAAATACAAGGGGAAAACATTTATTTGCATTTACACAGGAGGGAGGACAGCATAATGAAAACGGGGGAATGGGGAAGTAACTGATGCAATGCACTTTATGCATTTTGAATAACACAAATATTTGGACTATTTTCTCTTACTGGCTACTGTGATTGAATGATGCAGATAAAATTCAGCTAATCAGAGCCTAGAGTGTACTTCTGGGGGTATAGATATATATTATGGGTATATCTTAACAATAATTGAGACACATACAAGAAAAACAGATTTGGAAAAGGAACAAGAACACAGTTTTTTCCCCCCCAGAAATGCGGAACAAAATAAAATAAAAAGACATTTCATACTTGGACTAACGGAAGGAAAGTGTAAGGTTGTTTTTAAGAAAGCTTAAACCCAGAATGAGTTACAGACTGCCAGGAAGCCCCTTCTTTCATGCTACAAATACTCGGTGCTACAAGAACGTTGGCCTCCCCACAATATCTCTGATTGGGGAACACTGCTTGTCGTCACTGCTGGCTGAGCTCCGGAGAGAGAGAGACAAGAGGACACTTGCGGCAGCGACACTCCTGAAGAAACGCACATTTAACTGGCATTGTCTGTAAATAAATATACAGAGCAGCATAATGGCTTCTACCTCATACTATGTCTAAAACAAAGACAAGGAGACCCTGAGATCTCAGATGAAAATCCAGACTGGTATAAAATAGGAATGTGTGCTGGTTAGTGTGACGTATACACTGAAAATGAAGGTTGTAAGCGATCCGCCAGCCTTCCCTCCAATGGCATGTTAATAGGACCCTTCATAGTCTTTCACGCATGATATGTCCCTTTCCCATTCTAGAAGGGAACAGGAACCACGTATGTTTAAAACGGATTTTTCAGCACGTTGGGAAATCCTTGTGTGCCGGCACTTCCTATACTCAGAAGTGCTCTCTACCTATCCTTTGTTAATCTCTATAGGACCAGATTATGTCAAACAACGATGCTTAAATCTGTTGCATTATGCATTTAACAGGCTGCATATGGTCACCTTTGGCCTCAACATCAAGAGAAACCTGAAATGCCAGCATGACGTGCCTGCCACTGGGTGCTTGTACACCGAGACTTTCCCATGCCTGCCTCCTACCTGCTGTGAAAACACAAGGCTTGGCTTTCTGCGTGCTAGAATAGAAAGGTCCACAGCACCCTGGGTCACAGGCCATCTGCCGCTCATCAAGAGACTGCTACATCGTCTATACAGGAAAGTCTGTGTCACCAACTTAACTCGTTCCCGTATGATCAAACAGCGACACAATGTCAATTACAATGTCCAGACAAAACGGAACCAGGTCTCATCGTGCTGTGGTAGCACAGGAAGTCACAGGCTCCACACGCTGGCTTTAGTGAGATGTACCTGTATAACAGCAGGCTTCATGCTCAGATGGGGGGTGGGGGTGGGGGGATACAATAACATACAAATACACAAACACTTTAAAAATGAAAGTTGATTCTCCAGTTGTCAGAATAATGCAGGAGCCGTTTGAACTGCATTCTGGGAGCTCCTACCCAAGTAATGCTGCTGCGAGACATTTGTAGACACTTGCCCCACTTGTAAGATATATATTGAACAGACTGACTATAGAATATCCATATAGTACAAAGGAGGGGACAAGCCACCAGTGTGGGAGAGGTCCATGGCAGGGTAAACATGGCCACATATCTGGAGAGATCAGAGCCGAGGATTTCATAGATGAGAACTCTAGTAAACACGGTACCCTGTATCGTAACATGTGAGACTTGTCTTTTCACTGGCTTCCGGTGACTTTCCTAAATAGAACGGTCAACGTTTGATGAATTGTTTATCAGCACTGTGCTGTTATATGAACCTGTGCTTGTATCAGCAAGAAAAGTGGAGAACAGCAGCTGCTTCTGAGTTGTGGTCATGCTGGGTGCTCAGAGCCAGGTAAGCCATGTAAATAGGCTGAGTGTTCCAGATCGATGTACTGTCATACTTCCACACAGAGAAGAATTAGTGTACTGGCATCCCACTCTGTCACATGATCATCGGGAAGATCTTATGATGGGATGGCAGTCGCTGTGCTGGGATCTTTGCTCTGTGCTGTTCACTATTAGGATTCTCCAGGTCGGTGAGATAAGTGACCTGGACATGCTGGTCTACGAGACGCTGGAGCAGCGAATACTTGGGGAGCCCATCTGTGTCAGAACTTTATCAAGCCACTGCAGCGGACCATTCAGATGCAGCTCGATCCAACAAGGGGTGCTGGTCACAGTCTGACGCCTGTGGAGACAGAATTGTCACAACGCTGCAGTTAACATTAAGTATTTTTTAAGTAATTCCATTATCCAAAATAAAAAAAATCTTAGAAAAAATGTAAGTGTACAAGTGAGAAATAGAAGCCGCAAGACTGTGGTCATCATGTGGATAAAGAAGAGGTCATTGGCCACATAGGATGGACAATGTAGAAGTCAGCATGCTGACCATACGAAGTTACTGCATGCTGGGGTAACCAGTGTAGTCTCAGGGCACAATCAGCAGCTTACACTCTCTCTGGTATAGGATGAGGGATGCTGTTTGTTCTATTACTATAGGAACCATGTATAGGATGATGACTGAATGTATCCCAACAACTAGAATCTGTAATATGCACAAAATCCAGATCCAGGGGAAACATGATAAATGTGGAAGAGATACATACAAAGCCAACAAAACAATAACTCTGCTCTTTGTCTGTATATACTCTTAGGCAGAGGTGAAACCTGTACCAAGAGAAAACACATGGGCTGCCACTGCTGACCTTCTTATTGCCTGACTCTCCTTGGCTCTTTGGTTTTGAAGTATCGCTACCTGTAGTGCCCACCCCTGCTTTAAAGTGCATTTCTAGGCAAACATTTTTTTTAGTTTTAAATAAAGGTGGAGAAGGGTTAGACACTCGTCAAGTTGTAACTGTGGTCTGTGTCCCCATTAGAGAGATACTCACCTGATCTTTGGTCCGGCAGCAGTCAGCTATCACCTCTCTCCTCCTCTGCTCTGGCTATGGAATGGTGTCAGCATCCCTATATCTAATGTGAGTGAATGGACCTGCATAAGACGTGAGGACGTCAGCAGTCCTTAGATCATTGGAGCCTTGAGGAGAAGAGTTTGTGGGGACCTGTCTAGCAGCCTGGAGGGAGCCGTGGGGCTAAAGATGAGGTGAGCAATAAAGCTTAATTTGAGTCTCCTAGACAAAAGGAGCGCACAAACCCTGCAGTGCATGGGTAGCTCCACTGCAAGGGAAGGTTTTGGTTTGTTTGCCCAGAGTTCTTCTTTAAAAGGTACTACTTGATGAATAACTTTACAGGGTACTTTTAAGGAAGGCAGAAGTTAAAGTCTCAACACTGAATGAGTTAAGGAAGGAAGAAGTTAAAGTCTCAGCACTGAAGGAACTAAGGAAGGAAGTTAAAGTCTCAGCACTGAAGGAGTTAAGGAAGGAAGAAGTTAAAGTCTCAGCACTGAAGGAGTTAAGGAAGGAAGAAGTTAGTGAAATGTGAGCGAGAAACCTCAGGATCAGTAATGAGGCTGCCAAACAGAGGCACATCTGGGTTCCGTTAGCTCCCCTGGCTCCCAGCCAGCACTGAAACTGGCTGTCAAGTGTGGAGGATGAGATTTAACCCATGGCACGCCAAGCACACGCAAAATGTCAGTGTTCCCATTTCCGACCACAAAGTGGCCCAGAACGAAGCAGTTAACGGCATAAATGGTCACTGAACATCTGGAAGCCAGCAGGCAAAGTTGGGATCTGCGTTGGGTGTCTGCTGCTCCCACAATAGCAGAATGTTACACTCTGGCAGCCAGTGAGCGTTACACCCTCCACATAATGACATGTGTCCCAGCTTCGCCACCTCCCCGGACACGACCAAAAATCAGCAAGACCACAGAAATAAAAGTCACTTTCCCCAGTTGGTAAACACATGAGGAGACTGCAGGGATTTCAGGGAACGGGGGGAAAAAAAAAAAGCTATATTTGTTTTCCTGAGAAGGGAGAAGAAGCAAACTGGGCTGACTTGCTCAGGTAAACTTGCTTTAGTCATCAGCTGATCATAGCCAACTCTGAAATACAGTTGCACCTCTGCACTTTGCTGTCTGGAAATGAAGCAGTTAAATGAGCGTTCCGATGAGCTTACTTTTGATGGCCAACCTGGGAACTATAGGCCGGTCAGTCTAACATCGGTAGTTTGTAAAATGCTAGAGGGCATAATAAAGGATTATCTGGTAGAATTTGTTCAGGAAAACGGGATAGTTAATGACAATCAGCACGGGTTCAGGAAAGACCGTTCCTGCCTAACTAACTTGCTAACTTTTAGAGCCGCAGTGAAAATCTGCTGTTCTGCATTATGAGTTCATGCAGGCGATTTCATGAGCAGACTTGTAAATGGAGGTTAAGCCCAGAGCGCAGATGGTAGGACAGGTCAGCACAGCGAGTGACCTCTGTACTACCGCCCTCCCCTGTCCCCAAAAACTCCAGCAGAACAGGGACCAACCAGTACCAAGAGCAGCAGCTGCCTTGTCCACTGCCTGCTGCAAGAACTGCCTCCCATGTGGACTGCATTGAAAACTACAGACTGGAGTGTCATCTGAAGTTACCCACAGGATGTGTTGGGGTCTCACTGGGAACAATGGGTGGTGAAACATCTGCCTCTTCCAATGCACCAGGACCTGCTGATACGCTGAGATTCAGTGTGTGTGTGTCTGTGTGTCTGTCTCCCCTTTAGAACTTATACCAACCTCCGCTCTTCTGGGAAGGCTTTCCACAAGAGTGTGTGTAGCTGTTCACATCACCTCAGCAACATGGTGTTAGACACGAAGACCTGGCTTGCAATCAAAGTTCCAACTCATCACAAGGATGCTCCACAGGGTTGAGTCAGGGCTCCTTGCAAGCCACTCAAATTCTTCCGCACCTTTAGCAGGCTTCAAAAGCTTTTACAAAAATAACTATAGAGCTGAAATTTAAGCTGGCCATACACCTACAGATATTCTGCAGTATTTTCTATGGTATTTTATCTACGCTAAACTGTGTGGATGGAGGAATCTCCCACTAGGCCAAGCTTTAGGATCTTGCTAGTCGGCTCAGCTGGCTCTCAAAATACCTGAACAGTCTGATTGGATGCCGGCATTGTTCAGGTATTTTGAGAGCCAGCGGGGCCGACTAGTAAGATACTGAAGCTTGGCCCAGCGGGAGATTCCTCCATCCACACAGTTTAGCGTAGATGGAGGAATCTGTTGCACTTCTTACATCTGACCATAGAAAATCTATAGGTGTATGGCCAGCTTTACTGAGGCATCCCAAAACCTGTCACTTTCTGCTGGAGATCCACTCTATCCCTACTTGGCATAAGTGAAATGTGCCTCTCCTTTTACTAAGAAAACTGTGTCATGTAAACAAACCTTTGTGTGCAGGTAAAAAATGAACCATTACCCTGCACATAAGGCAAACCTGGGAGCTCCAAACAAAAGCTGTTTGTAGATCTGAATATAGCAGGAAGGGGTTGGAACTTCTGTCAGGTTCATCTGGCTGACTGTGTCCCCACTGAGGAAGACTTTCCTTCTCAGATATACAATGCGCAGTAATAGAAAATTTCCCCACAGTGAGAGGAAATCCCACTTTACCAGGGCAGGTATCCACATTGGAAAATTGCCTTCACCTTCTGTTTTACTGTAGCAGTAAAAGTTTGAAATTCCAGGCTGTGCTGGTGACCATTGTCTGAAGAGAAATCTCTCCAAAAGGAGAGACGGACAGCAAAAAGTTCAGATAAGTTCCTACCCTGATCCACACTATCCAGTACTAAAAGTGTTTTTTGTGTGCACGGTGTCATCCGTTGTATCCTTAAGTTGCTTCATACAGGTGAAACTCGAATAATTAGAATATCGTGCAAAGTTCATTTATTTCACTAATGCAACTTATAAGGTGCAACTAATATACGAGATAGACTCATTACATGCAAAGCAAGATAGTTCAAGCCGTGATTTGTCATAATTGTGATGATTATGGCTTACAGCTCATGAAAACCCCAAATCCACAATCTCAGAAAATGAGAATATTGTGAAAAGGTGCAATATTCTAGGCTCAAAGTGTCCCACTCTAATCAGCTAATTTAGCCGTAACGCCTGCAAAGGGTTCCTGAGCCTTTACATGGTCTCTCAGTCTGGTTCAGTAGGAATCACAATCATGGGAAAGACTACTGACCTGACAGTTGTGCAGAAAACCATTATTGACACCCTCCATAAGGAGGGAAAGCCTCAAAAGGGTCATTGCAAAAGAAGTTGGATGTTTCCAAAGTGCTGTATCAAAGCACATTAATAGAAAGTTATGTGGAAGGGAAAAGTGTGGAAGAAAAAGGTGCACAAGCAGCAGGGATGACCGCAGCCTGGAGAGGATTGTCAGGAAAAGGCCATTCAAAAGTGTTGGGGACTTTCACAAGGAGTGGACTGAGGCTGGAGTCAGTGCATCAAGAGCCACCACACACAGACGGATCCTGGACATGGGCTTCAAATGTCGTATTCCTCTTGTCAAGCCACTCCTGAACAACAAACAACATCAGAAGCGTCTTACCTGGGCTAAAGAAAAATAGACCTTGGAAGCCAAGGACCCAGAGTATGGAGGAAGAATGGAGAGGCACACACTGCAAGATGCTTGAAGTCCAGTGTGAAGTGTACACAGTCTGTGTTATTTGGGGAGCCATGTCATCTGCTGGTGTTGGTCCACTGTGCTTCATTAAGTCCAGGGTCAACGCAGCCGTCTACCAGGACATTTTGGAGCACTTAATGCTTCCTTCCGCAGACAAGCTCTATGGGGATGCTGACTTCATTTTCCAGCAGGACTTGGCACCTGCCCACACTGCCAAAAGCACCAAAACCTGGTTCAATGACCGTGGGATTACTGTGCTTGATTGGCCAGCAAACTCGCCTGACCTGAACCCCATAGAGAATCTATGGGGCATTGCCAAGAGAAAGATGAGAGACATGAGACCGAACAATGCAGAAGAGCTGAAGGCCGCTATTGAAGCATCCTGGTCTTCCATAACACCTCAGCAGTGCCACAGGCTGATAGCTTCCATGCCACGCCGCATTGAGGCAGTAATTGCTGCAAAAGGGGCCCAAACCAAGTACTGAGTACATATGCATGCTTGTACTTTTCAGAGGTCCGATATTGTTCTATGTACAATCCTTGTTTTATTGATTGCATGTAATATTCTAATTTTCTGAGGTTGTGGATTTGGGGTTCTTGGGGTTTTCATGAGCTGTAAGCCATAATCATCACAATTATGACAAATCACGGCTTGAACTATCTTGCTTTGCATGTAATGAGTCTATCTCATATATTAGTTTCACCTTTTAAGATGCATTAGTGAAATAAATGAACTTTTGCAGAATATTCTAATTATTCGAGTTTCACCTGTATATTGACTACAAATGGCTGCAGGATAACTCAATGTATCAGCTTTTCCAGCTTTTGTGAGTAAAATCCCTTCCCAGTATCACTGACCTGTATTCAGCACCCCATCCCTTGACAAAGCTCATCCGTATAGTACACATCCTGGTCAGCTGATAAACAGCCTCAAATCCCTGGTTTACCGATTGTGCCAGGAGGGCAGCGAACTCCTGGTTATTAAAGATCTTCAGATTACACCCTGGAACAGAGAAAAGAAACAGACTGTAGGAAAAGCGACGAATTCCGATAAAAGTGACAGTAGGGATTTATAGCTCGAGCAGAGACCGTCTTACCTGGAGGGATCTTGCACACAGTAGCGGGGTGCCAACCATAACGCTGGTTACAGTTTGGGGACTGTACAAAAATTGCGCTGTCGCTTAGGCATTCGGCAAACACCTCGCCGCCAATGTAATACAGACGCACTCCTCTACCTGGAAAGCAGAGAACAATTAGCTGTAAACACTGGAGGAATTATATACTTATACTTCCTCTTTCTGGAGGCATAAAAGCTGAAATTTGGGTGTCAAAAAAGACATTCATTTTTCCCCTCATTTTTATATTTAACTCTTTTGCTGCCAGAGCTGTTTTTCCAATTTTTGCACGCATGTTTTTACCTGAGCTCCCTAACCTTAAAAACATCTCCTACTTACTAATATGTTTCAAGACAGTAAGTGAAGGAAAGTCTCCCTGATAGAACAAACCCGCCCCTCCCCCCTGGATCCGAGATCCGTTCATTAACAGATGAGCTTATACAAGTACGTGGCCAGCTTTGTTGTTTCTAAATGACATTATTTGTACTTGTAACCAACACACAGTGAATGAAGACAGTTTGTGTTGCGGACATGTATCTGAAAGCATTCTGTGTAATATTTCATTAGCTCTTAATTCTTAATAAAATAAAAGGCTGATGATTGTCTCCCCTAGGCAGGACTCCCCTGGAGAGCTACAAACGCAGGGACAGACACACTGGGTTCTGCACGTGTTCTGTATCCAGCTCCTTTGTTTACTTAGCCTCGCTGTCCTATAACCAGGCACCACTAACATGAAAGCGGGGACATTAAATGGCATTATGGCGAGGGAAGCACATGACCTGCTGCTCCTTGGCATACCGCAGCATAATGGATCTAAGACTGGGGCTGTAAGATTGTGGCGGAAAAGACGGAACTGTGTGCGTTGAGGTTACACACAAGGATCGTGCAGGGCCTGTTGGACAGGATTCATATTATGGGAGGTCTTCTGTTTTCACATTCAGAGGTCCAGAATGGAAAGTTTTTTGTAACCGCTGAATTAACGAGAGGGGAGAGTTGTTCCAGTTATTTCGTCTGAGGCACACATTTTCATTTGCTGTAAAAAGCAAAGCTCACCAAACCCTTCTGAGCAGACCTAAACAAAGCCGGCCACATATGGCTGCTACGAGGCAGACAAAATAAAGATTTCTTGTTTTATTTCAGGTCCAATGACAGCCGAAGAAAACTCTGAGATAAGAGGAAATATTGATTACTGTAATGCGCCGTGGAATATGCTAGTGTGTTTTAAGTAAACTGCATTAATGATTATAATTGCTGGTCTCAGGGAGGCACATGAACTATTTCCAGGAAACTGCTCTCCCACTGGGATTATCAGCTTGCACTAAGCAGACATGGCTGGCAGATGACCTTTGCCCTCAATGTAAACATGAGTGCATCAGCCTAACAGCTTAACCCTACAGAAGATCACATCTGTTATTGTGATGTTAACACTTTCATTTTTCTCTCCTTTTTACTTTGTTTGCAAAGCATCAGAAATGGAGCTGCTCTGTGCAATCACCCAGGTCAGCTTACCAAGTACAGATGTCACTGAGGTATGATCTACAAGTGCTTATTCTCAGAACTCCTGTCCAGTGGATAAGCCACAAACTGTTCCAACAAGAAGCCGCTTCATTCACCCGTTAATGCCTCTACCTCCGTTCCTTGCAATAGCTTATCTAGAGTCTGCCACCCGGAAATATACGTTTTTGTGCTCATTCCCTGTACTACAGGACAGTGACTGACAACACAAGGGAAGTTCCTATTGTACAACGGGGCACAGGGAATTCTTTCTGGTTCTGAGGAATGGTGCTATAATATGATGAGGAGCAGAACACACTTCATGACTTCACCCTCATGTTTTGACAGCTAGAGGCATAAGGAAACCATATGAGAGCTATGTATAAAAAAAAAAACAAAAAAAAAAAACCATTCAAAAGAAACAAAAAAAGTGACGTTGCTGACCATCAGAATCCATCGTTTATTTTATGAGGAGGACAACTGAATCCTTATTAAGGGCAAAATCTGTGCTTTTGATCTCATTTTTTACATAAATTCATGTTATGGCCAAAAGATTGTGGCCTGTCACACCTATATGAGCTTGTTAGATATCCCATTCCAAAACTATGGGCATTAAAGCCCATCTCCGGGGAACCAAAAAACGTCCTCTTGCAGTGGGACTACCCTCACACTGCAAGGGTTACCTGCTTGATTAGATCCAGGGGACCAGTTTTACTTACCTGATCCCTGCTCCTGCTGGCTTCCACAGCCTTCCCCCCCTCTGTTTTAGCAGTTGAAGACCTATTAACATCATCATGTCTAATGCTGGCCCATAACAATAATTTGGAGTGTTGTCCCCATACTTTTGCAACATAATGTATTATTTTTACAGAAGGGATTGTTTTCTAAAACCCCAATGCAGTTATGTGAGATATGTGCCTTCACTCTCCCATACTGTATTCTTAAAATGAACATCTGATTGGCCAGAGAAACGGTTCTACTTCTACAGCAATTCTAACAAAAAAAGACCCGTAAACAGAGCAGAAAAAAATGCTCTCTGCGTGGTTATTAAACAGACAAGCAAGTGTCAGTTATTGAGATAGGCAGGTCAGTGTTTCTTTCATCTAGGTTCACTCCTCATAAAAGGTGGCCATGCTTTCTTTAGGATCCTCTCTACACTGGTGTGGCCCAACTTTGCTGCCCCCGGCCTAATCAGACAACAGTTACCGATGTGACGCCGGGTCAGTTCCACAGCAGCATTGCGGTTCACGTTGGAGAGCAGACCAAGGCAAAAACGTTCAGAGTTTGATGGGTCTGTAAATCCATCCACTGTCATGGAAGGTTGGGAGGCATGAAACGTCTCCCCGACTCTCTGGTTGAGTTCATAGTATGAGATGGAGCACCAGAAAGCCGGCTCACAATATGTTACAGGCTGGAGATCTAGAGAGTGAGAAAAAGAAAATGATACAAAATGTATTACACGATATAGGTCAATTAAATGTATTACACGATATAGGTCAATTAAATGTATTACACAATATAGGTCAATTAAATGTATTACACAATATAGGTCAATTCAATGTATTACACGATATAGGTCAATTCCCATTTGCCATGATGCTATAAACCAGTGGTTCTCAACCTGTGTAACCTCAGGACCCACATTTGTCCTTGGCCATTAAGTTGTGACCCAAGTCTGCAATGTCTGCACTGCAATGGAACGCACGGCATTAGGGTACCGCGTGTTCCAGTGCAGGCGTACAAATTGGGTGGGAGGTGCGTTTGGGATATCATTCAAATGAGTGGCAACACAACACATCTCCCACTCCAGAATGCACGGTAGGTGCAATTGCGTGGTGCAGTGCGTTCATCGCACGGTACTATGCAATTAACGCACTGTGCTAGTGTGAAAGGGCCCTTTTTTTTTTTTAAGGTCCACCCAGTTTCCCTACCTTACAAGAACTGGAGTGGATCCTCAGCCTGAAGTCTAGTGTGGGCTGCTGTGCTGTGACAGAGCTCCATGCATATGTGCATTGCTTGTACAGCTCCCTTGCGTGCCCCGTAGAGGTGGCGGGGGCCAGAATGTGATGTCACTCCGGTCCAGGCACCTCTACAGGACATGCAAGGAAGCTGTAAGCAATGCACGTATGGATGGAGCTCCCTCGCAGCCATAGCTCCGGCCCACCCCACCTCAAGCTGACACTCAGGGCCGGGCAGCATATTTTGAATGGCTGTTTAGCACGAGAACTGACAGTGCAGCGCTAGGGGGAGGCAGAAGAGCCTGTCACCTAGAAAAGTGGAAGGCATGCGGCGACCCACTGAACACAGGCTCGCGACCCACTTTTGGGTCACGACTTACCAGTTGAGAACCAAAACTATAAAGTACATACAAGAAGCAGAAACCTCAAGTTAAATCAAACCTGCAACTCTGAATACACCACAGTAAATCTAATAAAGTAAGTCAGCACAGGAAAAACATAGCTTTGTAATGATTCTTTTAGTGCCTGTTTTCTCACATTATGCTAGTACAGGCTCTTGTAGTATCAATGTATACATTGACTATTATGTATAATGCCATAGAGTACTGTAGACCGATTGGATGTCTATACGATGCATTCACAGTAAGCTGTAGACCCGTGTCTATGGTTCTTTCATGGTAATACTCATGTATTAAATGTGCATTATTATACAGTGTGCTAGTTGCGTGCTTCATTTTGGACCTTTCAATACCTGACCAGGTAATACTGTTTTTGTTGGAGCACAATGTACCAGAGTGGAACAAACAAGCAAACATGAACATAAATACAAATTCACACAGTCCTGAGTTTAAAATTCCCAATGATCCCAGTCTGCATGGAGTGTGTATGTTCTAAGTATGCCTGGTTTTTACCTGACTACTCCAGGTTCCTCCATGACCCAAAACATAGTGGTATGTTACCTTCTGACCCAACTGGCCCCAATAAGAGACTACGTTGGTTTCTGTGTGATTTGGCTAGGAGCATTACTTTATGAAAAGGTACATGGAGGTAAATGTCTCAATGTACTTGGCACTTCTCTATGGAATGTAATGCTAAACATATATTACTATATAAGGAACTTGATAAAAATATAAATTTAGTTACATAGGTGGAGTTATATCTTAAAGCCTAATACAAGCCACAACCTTTTATTTTGTTTCAGGTAGAGCATCGGTCAGGTTTTCAATGCATCTGTGTCCTTTTTGGAGAGACTTTCCTTCACTTCCTATCAGGGCAGGAAGTGATACGAAATATCCCCAGCGGGGATACAAACACAGGTAGACATACTATGAGCACACATTAACAACCTTTCTATAACCTTTATAGGTGTAGACAATTATTTTCCTGCAATTGTTTAAATACCCAACATGTCCATTAAAACATTGAAATACACAACCATGGCAATGTTTGTATCTGGTAATGATCATTTCTTTACACACAAGTTCTATTTCCTCTGCTCATTTTTCCCATGCACATTTGTAACAATTCTTAAACCATCTGGCAACCAGCAAGACTTCATCTGTTACAGCACACAATGGACCTTTCAATACCTGAGTATATTCGCAAGATCTTATTATTATTATGGGATATGTTCCTTTGTTTTATCCTGTGGCACTGTGTGTATAAGTCTTTCCAGTTGCAAGAAACAGAAAAAAAAAAACTGATAGAATTTTAAAGAAGAACTCTGGAAATGTAAAAAAATGTACACTTACATTGGGGCTTCCCCCGCACTGCAAGGGCTAAGGGCCCATTCACACCACATCATCTCCAGACCAGACCAGATTGTTTCCGGACCCAAAATGCATCCTAATGTGTCCCTATGCTATTTCTGGCCTCTGTTCACACCCAGCGCAGTCCGTTCCAGACCAGACCAGGAAAAAATACTGCATGTCTCATTTTGTCTGGACTAGAATGCACTGCAACTGCGGGCAGGTTCTCACCATTTTCTGGACCAGATCTGGTCCGGAAAATGGTGTGAACCTGCCCTCAGTGCTCAAATAAAGCAGATCTACTCACCAGATTCTCGGTCCTATAGCGGTCGGCACTCACCTCTCTCCTCCTCTGCCTTCTCATGTCTCATGCTGGTCAATGGACTTGCATAAGACGTGGTGACGTAGGAGGTCCTTAGACTGCCAGAGTCCAGGGGAGAAGAGGTTGTGGGGACCGGCCTAGCAGACCAGAGGGAGCAGCCGTAACCGAGGATCAAGCAAGTAAATCTGCTTTATTTAAGCCCCCTAGACAAAACCAGCACTTAACCCTTCCAGTGCAGGGGTAGCCCCACTGCAAGGATACATTTTTTTGATTTTCCCGGAGCTCTTCTTTAACCCTATCCAAACCAAAAAAAAAGAAGAACATTTGATATATTTGGCTGCAGTTCTGGTTTAACCTTTTCTATCCTGTCTTGTGGAGTTTTATTCTTCTATCTTTAGGCAAAATATGTCACAAAGTGATAAGTACAACATCTTCTATGACTGGATTGGCAAGTCATAAAGGGCTATACCACTGTAAAACAAATACTCCGAGAAGTCAAAATGGTTTAACGTGCAAAGGAAATTAGTTGGTTGAGGCATTACAAGACCAAAGAGGGCTTCTCTTCAGCAACTCTGTGCAGAGCGAGTTAAGCAAAGCTGATTTCACGCTCGCAGCGCTGCAACTTCTCTGATAAGGAGAGGCCCCTCACATATTCAGGCCTGGCCCTGCGCCAAGCCAAACCGCCTGACCTAACTCTGCATCCGGCCAATTTCCATGGGACCGGGAGGAGACCACATAGGGGCATGTTTATATTAATATTAATATACCACTCTATGGTAATCTATTATTCTTGCAGAACTGCTGACAATCCACTTTACTGTAAAAATATACATAGATATGAAATCCGAATAGAGAACAGATGTGGTTTGGTGACTAACGTGATCGCTCGACTTCCCCGAGCTAAAGGAGGACGTGTCACATCGTCACATCACACCAGATTAAACGGCAGAAATCTGTCTGCAGCTTACCTACAACAACTTGGAAATGTGCAGAATTCCACACTATCAAATCAGCACCAAAATAAAATCATGCAAAGAAAACACCATTTGTAATAGTAAGCATATGGTGCGTCTTATGACATGGTGTCTGAATGGAGTCTGCTACTTTGGCTGCCCCAACTGTTAGACATGTTACCGCGTGGAATGAACTGTGCTCTTCCCTCTGACTTTACTACAAATTGCTATTAGTCACTTTGTGAATAAAGCCAGAGTCATCGTTCTGTTTGAGGTATTACCATCGTTACCATCGCTTCCACGGTTCCCACAATGGTAAGGACTTTAAAAGTAGAACTGAAACCAAAACTTTTTTTTCAAATTTTGGATGGAGTAAGGGAGGGTTATAACTCGTCAGCTTCTCTTTCCCGTTGGGGAAATTTCCCTTCAGACATTTCCTGTCCCACAGCCACAACAGGAAGTGAAAGAAAAAGCGAGTAGAAATCACTGCTGGTCAGCAAGGCCATCAGAACCATTGGAAGATTTCGCATCTATTACAATTCTGAGAACAACCCAAAATTTGGGACACAGACAGCAATAAAAACCGGACAAGTCTTCTAGTCCCTCTCCGCTCTATCCAAACCTAAAGAAAGAAAGGTTTTGTCTTCAGTTACATATTAAGAGTAGTTCATGCATGAAGACATGTGATCTATATCAAACAATCAGATCCGCAAGGAAACTTGTACTGTTTTCAATGTTTTTTTGAGTGACTGACCCGGAACCACAATGTAAATCAGAAGTTCTGAATTTGTTTTGACATCATTTGCCTCATGCTTGTTTCAGGTCAGTGAAATCAGAGGATTAGCATGATAGCCAGAGCAAGCATTCTCACAAGAAGGTCCCAACAGGTTCTTGTGAAGTCATCAGAACCAATCTCTGATTTATCAGGAAACAGAACCTGCCTGATCTCTAGTGATGCCAGAATCCCCCCTTAAAGTACAAAGATGGGAAAACTGGAGCAGACAGAATCTGGAAAAGTTGACCATGGCAACAAATCAGCTACTCTTTTCAGTTTGCTCAATTAAGATTTGGAAATGAGAGAGAGAAGCTGATTGGTTGCTGTGCACAGCTGCTCCAGTTTTGATAAATGCCCCCGTGTCTTTTATACATGGACACTATGGATAATTTTAGAGAAACCAGGAAACCCTACAGTGTGCCTTTGGACTGTGGGAGGAAGCCTGAGAAACCACAGAAATCACACAAAAACACATGGAGAAACTCCATACCAATAGAGCCATTGAGATTGGGACCCCAGCGCTGGACAGACATAGTACTAACCCTATGCCGCAGATTTAGACTATACGAAAATAGTCTCTTCTGTCCACAACAACCTTATTCCAGTTGTCATTTGAGACATGCTGGAAGAATGACAGCTGGTATCCCACATGGACAATCCAGA